TCGGCAGAGCTAGAGTTTTTTAATACTTTATCTCCTGGATGTGACCCACAAGAGTCGGCTAACACTGCTAGGTGGGCTGGGTCAGCAGGGGTGTAAGGAAACTTACATATATGACTTTCCGTGCCATGGAATCGGGACCGGTACCTTGGAATTGTGAGTCGAATGCTCTCACCAAAACAGATTGTGGGTTTTGTGTGTGGGGTAAGGGAAGACGAGGCGGGAATAGGGCGTATCATCGTGAAGACAAGCGTCGTGATGGATCACTTGCCCACCTGCCCACCCTCCTGAGTGGTAAACAAAGCAGCTACAACATTACTTCCTTGCAACCCCCATCATCTGTAGCATGTTCTCTTGGTCTCCACCTACCTTCCTTGTATCTGCAGCCTTTGGTATCTCCATCTGTTCCTTCCTTGTATCTACAGCCTCTAGTATCTCCATCTATGTCCCTTCGTTGCATCTACAGCCCCTGGTATCTCCATCCATGTTCCTTCGTTGTATCTGTGCTTTCCTATATCTAAATCTACGTTCCTACATTTTCTTGTATTTCTTTCTAATTGCCTTCGTTGTAGAGCATCGTTTTAGTATCTCCATCTAGATTCCTTCGTTGTATGAACATCCTTTGGTATAACCATTTGTATCATCATCGTTTAGTATCTCTAATTTTCTTCCTTGTATCAACAATCTCTGGTATCCCTGTTTATGTTACTTTGCCGTATCTCTACAATCTTGTATCTCCATCTAGGATTTTCACCCTACGGTAATATTACTCAGTCTATGAAGCTTCAAAAATATACGGTGAAAGGGCTTGGATAAATACATAGAATGGCAGGTATTAAACGAATTCTGCAACACATCGGCCGTTTTACGTCCAAAGAAAAAAAATATCTTCACTATCGCTCGCACCCTAGCTATTTTTTCTACAAAAAAGGGAAAACATTACGATTCAAGGATGACTAATAAAATCTCAATATCCTTACACTTCATTCAAAGTACAGGAATTGTAATTCTCAGTTCCCAAACTCAGATTCTGCTCACCGGTTTCAGTGCGTACACTCCAACAGCTCGTCAAATCCCATTCGCTACTTGCTTTACATTTGCCTGTTCGATGTTCAAGCTTTACCTCTCAAAATTTCTTCACACCTTCATTCCATCCCTTTCTGAGACGTACACTACACCTCTTTCCATCCACCGTGGGATTTATCCACTCTCATGATCAATCTACAGTATCTTACTTCACTCTCTCTACATAGCACAACCATCTCAACAAGTGCCGGATTAAAGAGGGCGGCAACCTGGGGGGCTTCCGCAGGGCCCTCACATAAACAGGACTCCCATGCAAAAGGGGTTACAACACGAAAGAGATCTCTCACGCAAAAAGGGATCCCGATACGAAAGAGACCCCCATAAAAGGCCTCCTCTCCCCAAAAGCAAAATAAGTGTCCACACAAAATAAGACCACACAAAGCAGGGTACTGGGTAATCTGGACACGAAAAAGGTATAATTCCCTGAAAGATCAGTGATACTACGCATCTATCAGTGATGTTCAGTGACAGGGGTTTACCCGGCCCCCTCCCCCTCACAGCTCCGAAAAAAAATCAATACCATCACACCTTCTAATTTTCCTTTTTTTTTTTTTTTGCATAATGATCACTATACATTGCTACGAGTCCTGTCTAGGCTAGATATTTTCAGCACGTTATTTACATCCCCTTTATTTATTCCTGTCTTCCATTTATACACCTCAATCCTATCCCCCCTAATTCTTCGCCTTTCTAGAGAGTGCAGATTTAGGGACCTCAGTCTATCCTCATAGGGAAGATTTCTGATACATGGGATCAACTTTGTCATCCTCCTTTGTATGTTTTCCAGAGCATTTATATCCATTCTATAATACGGTGACCAAAACTGTGCAGCATAATCTAAATGAGGTCTAACCAAGTATATATAGAGTTGAAGAACAACCTGAGGACTCCTATTATTTATGCTTCTTGATATGAAGCCAAGGATTCTGTTAGCTCTACTGCGAACACTTATGCACTGTTGTCTTGGTTTCAGATTACTGCTAACCAGGATTCCTAAATCTTTTTCGCAATCCGTAATATTAAGATCGACATTATTTAGTTTATATGTGGTATGGTTATTTTCCTGTCCAACATTTAGAACTTTGCATTTGTCTATATTAAACTGCATCTGCCACTTCTCCGACCACTGCATCAGTCTATTCAAATCTTCCTGGAGTGCTCTAATGTCCTCGTCAAAATGAATTCGATGGCCTATTTTGGTGTTATCGGCAAACTTGCCGATGTAGCTCTTTATGCCCTCATCTATGTCGTTTATGTAGATTGTGAACAACAGGGGGCCCAAGACTGACCCCTGTGGAACACCGCTCGTGACGCTTCCCCACTCTGATTTCTCCTCATTTATGCAAACTCTCTGCTGCCTATTTGTCAACCATGCCTCTATCCAGGAAAAAATTTCTCCTCCTATTCCATGTGTCTTAATTTTCCTCAATAGTCTCTGATGTGGGACCCTGTCAAAAGCCTTAATGAAGTCCATATACACAATATCATATTCATTACCATGATCTACCTCCTCAAATACCTTAGTGAAAAAAGTTAATAAATTCGTAAGGCAGGAACGCCCTTTTGTAAAACCATGCTGAGATTCGTTGATTAATTTGTGCTTTTCAAGGTGGCTACGAACTGCCTCGGCAATTATTGATTCCATAAATTTTCCCACTATGGAGGTTAGGCATATTGGTCTATAGTTCGGAGCTAAGGACCTGTCACACTGTTGTAAATATCCAATACAATGAAATTATATATACATACCCCTCACCAAACGTGATTTTCTGTGCTGGAGAACTGTAACATGAAGATAAGTAAGTGTTAGTGCGCTACTCCCTCTTCTTTAACAACTAACTCTTTCCTTCTTAATCCTAGGGTATATATATACACGTTGAGAGATGCGTATCTCAACATTTATACGCCGAGAGTTTATTTTAGTCCTTATTCTATGGTGATGTAGAGGTGACATGGAGACTCAGTGATTCTTTTGTGGTCGATAGGCTTTAAATTTAAGGGACCACTATATCAACCATCCTTAACACCGCCTCCTGTTGCCTTGTCCCTCCCACCCCATTAATTTAATCATCCCTGCACCGAGCAGTTGTTTTCCAACCATCTGGTAATTACCGATTCATCATCATTTTATTGTTCTAAAAAAAGCGAGTGTATATCCCGTTAAACATGGCCACTGTCTGACGTCACAATAAACAACTTGATGATTTATAGACGACGAGTTACATAACTACAGAGATCTTATGAAAACTTATGTGAATTCTTTTATTTCGAAAAATAAAAGTCGCAGTATCATGGCTGGAACAATTCACAACCCAAAACAACGTTTCGGTCCGTTATGGACTATTATCAGATCAGAAATACTGAGAAATTTACTATCGACTAGCGTTACACTGACGAGCTAGTTATTAATAACTCACTAATGACCCAAAACATATTTGAAACTTCTCTGATCATATACGAGTCCTAAACTATTATTAACCAGAGTCCTGGTTTGTTCAAGGTGAATAATTTTCTGTTTAAAATATAGTACACTCTTTGAGAGACATTTATCGTGAGAACTGTGACTGGGCATAGTAAGAAAAAGCAGCCTAATAATATAAATCCTCGGGCATATCACTCATAATTGGAGTGACTGTCGAAATGTGCCTACATCCAGAGTTATAGTAGGTTGAAAACAAAGTACTGTTAGGTTAAAAGGAACACACAAGTCAAGTTTTCTTTATATTTACTGTTAGTTCAGTACTCCATCTAGGAAACTAGCTTTAGCTTATCATTGCAGTGAATCACTGTAACTCATGAGTTTTCAGTGTCATATTCAGTGCTTCCCTGTTTGTGGGCGAAATCTCTTCTGATACTATACACCATTCAACAAGCCTCTCTTTTGTACATATCGCATGCCAAAGATTTTACCTATCCCAACCCCATAAACTGTACACATATAGTACCAAAGGATACCCACATTCAAAAAGCAGATATTGTACATATCCCATACCGAAGGTTGTATCTATCTCATACCAAATGTTATGCACATCCCATACAAAAGGCGATTGTCTATGCCACAAGTTTTTATGCCACTAGAAGCAAGACAAGAAACGTATCAAACAGTAATTTGTTTAGCCCTAGCTTAAATTCGATAGATCACCCCAGATATTCTTTCCACACTGTCAGAGTTCATAGCTTACATTCAGTAGGTCTCCCCTCAACGTTCTGTCGACACCGCCAGACTTCCTAAGCTTCACATCTTCCATTAAACTGATTTCGTCCGGTAAAGTATAAGCCTTCATGCACTCTCACCTATAAGATTACATTCACTCTCACATAAGGTTTCATTGACTTTCACATGTAAGGTTTCATGTACTCACATAAGGTCTCATACATGCTCGTAAAATTTCATCCACTTTCATATATGACATTTCATGCATTTCACATACAAAATTTTATGCACTTTAACATACAAAATCTGATCTATTTTCACTTATTATGCAGTCTTATCATAATATATATATATATATATATATATATATATATATATATATATTTGTTATTAGTGTTTGATGTGTGTGTGTGTGTGTGTGTGTGTGTGTGTGTGTGTGTGTGTGTGTGTGTGTGTGTGTGTGTGTGTGTGTGTGTGTGTGTGTGTGTGTGTGTGTGTGTCTCGTGCCGAATAGGTAAAACTGGTTAATTAGCAAGAGCTCATTTAAAATTATTTTCTAAAATTATATTAAATTATTTGTAAAATAATATTAAATTATATACAATGCACTCACATCTTCACTTACTGTTTTTTCTTTATCAACTTGAGTTGTCTTCAAATGATAAGCGTAATTTACGCATTTTTTCTGATCACGTTTAACACCAAAACCGCCATAACACGCTTTTAGGTGCAAAGTTACTTAATCACTTTTGTTTCTTTCCAGCAGGAAGCAGTATGGCTCCCGTGTTCGGGGGAGGCCTGGACATCCGCTCCCTGCTGGGCACCATAGTCAACTTGATCAAGAGCAGAGCCAACCAGATATGCGCTGCTACGTGCGACGGACTTGTCCTCAGGATGCATTACCGCTGGACTTTCTGCTACCTCCTGGGCCAGTTCCTCTCAGTGTGGTACTCGTGGTGAGTCTCGTTGGTACTCGTGGTGAGTCTCGTTGGTACTCGTGGTGAGTCTCGTTGGTACTCGTAATGAGTATTGTAGCGTACTTTTACACTACTCATATTTCGTATCATCCATACATTTTCTAGGTCTCTGTCAACACAGTTGCAGCAGATCCATTTTCCTTCCTTACACTTCTCATTTTTCTAACGCTTTTAATGTAACTTTCATTAGTTCCTTGATAATGTGAGAAATCACGAAAGCGCTTGGAATTTCACTATTTTTTTTCACAGTGGTTATTCTGCATTTTGTGATATCACCTGTTTACTGTGATCTCATTGCGCCGCACACACACACACACACACACACACACACACACACACACACACACACACACACACGTAAGGGACACTACAAGAGAGAGAGGAGAGGATGAACCAGCAAGGCTGGACTTAGTATTCACCTTGAGTAGTGCAGATATCGAGGACATCACATATGAAAGACCCCTTGGGGCCAGTGACCATGTGGTTTTAAGCTTCGAATACACAGTAGAGCTACAAGTGGAGGGAGAAGCAGGAAGGCCAGGACGAATGAAGCCAAACTACAAGAAAGGGGACTACACAGGAATGAGGAACTACCTGAACGGGGTTCAGTGGGACAGAGAACTGGCAGGGAAGCCAGTTAATGAGATGATGGAATATGTAGCAACAAAATGCAAGGAGGCCGAGGAGAGGTTTGTACCCAAGGGTAACAGGAATAATGAAAAAGCCAGGATGAGCCCATGGTTTACCCAAGGTGCAGGGAGGCAAAAACCAAGTGTGCTAGGGAATGGAAGAAATATAGAAGGCAAAGGACCCAGGAGAATAAGGAGAACAGTCGTAGAGCCAGAAACGAATATGCACAGATAAGAAGGGAGGCCCAAAGACAATATGAAAATGACATAGCAGCGAAAGCCAAATCTGACCCGAAACTGTTGTACAGCCACATCAGGAGGAAAGCAACAGTCAATGACCAGGTAATCAGGCTAAGGAAGGAAGGAGGAGAGACAACAAGAAATGACCGTGAAGTATGTGAAGAACTCAACAAGAGATTCAAAGAAGTGTTCACAGAGGAGACAGAAGGGACTCCAGAAAGACGGAGAGGTGGGGCACACCACCAAGTGCTGGACACAGTGCACACAACCGAGGAAGAAGTGAAGAGGCTTCTGAGTGAGCTAGATACCTCAAAGGCAATGGGGCCAGAAAACATCTCCCCATGGGTATTGAGAGAGGGAGCAAGGCGCTATGTGTACCCTAACAACAATATTCAATACATCTATCGAAACAGGGAGATTGCCTGAGGCATGGAAGACAGCAAATGTAGTCCCAATCTTTAAAAAAGGAGACAGACATGAAGCATTAAACTACAGACCAGTGTCACTGACATGTATAGTATGCAAAATCATGGAGAAGATTATCAGGAGAAGAGTGGTGGAACACCTAGAAAGGAACGATCTCATCAACAGCAGCCAACATGGTTTCAGGGACGGGAAATCCTGTGTCACAAACCTACTGGAGTTCTATGACATGGTGACAGCAGTAAGACAAGAGAGAGAGGGGTGGGTGGATTGCATTTTCTTGGACTGCAAGAAGGCGTTTGACACAGTTCCACACAAGAGATTGGTGCAAAAACTGGAGGACCAAGCAGGGATAACAGGGAAGGCACTACAATGGATCAGGGAATACTTGTCAGGAAGACAGCAGCGAGTCATGGTACGTGGCGAGGTGTCAGAGTGGGCACTGTGACCAGCGGGGTCCCGCAGGGGTCAGTCCTAGGACCAGTGCTGTTTCTGGTATTTGTGAACGACATGACGGAAGGAATAGACTCTGAGGTTGTCCCTGTTTGCAGATGACGTGAAGTTGATGAGAAGAATTCACTCGATCGAAGACCAGGCAGAACTACAAAGGGATCTGGACAGGCTGCAGACCTGGTCCAGCAATTGGCTCCTGGAGTTCAATCCCACCAAGTGCAAAGTCATGAAGATTGGGGAAGGGCAAAGAAGGCCGCAGACGGAGTACAGTCTAGGGGGTCAGAGACTACAAACCTCACTCAAGGAAAAAGATCTTGGGGTGAGTATAACACCAGGCACATCTCCTGAAGCGCACATCAACCAAATAACTGCTGCAGCAATATGGGCGCCTAGCAAACCTCAGAACAGCATTTCGACATCTTAATAAGGAATCATTCAGGACCCTGTACACCGTGTACGTTAGGCCCATATTGGAGTATGCGGCACCAGTTTGGAACCCACACCTAGCCAAGCACGTGAAGAAACTAGAGAAAGTGCAAAGGTTTGCAACAAGACTAGTCCCAGAGCTAAGAGGTATGTCCTACGAGGAGAGGTTAGGGAAATCAACCTGACGACACTGGAGGACAGGAGAGATAGGGGGGACATGATAACGACATACAAAATACTGAGAGGAATTGACAAGGTGGACAAAGACAGGATGTTCCAGAGATTGGACACAGTAACAAGGGGACACAGTTGGAAGCTGAAGACACAGATGAATCACAGGGATGTTAGGAAGTATTTCTTCAGCCACAGAGTAGTCAGTAAGTGGAATAGTTTGGGAAGCGATGTAGTGGAGGCAGGATCCATACATAGCTTTAAGCAGAGGTATGATAAAGCTCACGGCTCAGGGAGAGTGACCTAGTAGCGATCAGTGAAGAGGCGGGGCCAGGAGCTCGGACTCGACCCCCGCAACCTCAACTAGGTGAGTACACACACACACACACACACAACACACACACACACACCACACACACATGCATACACACACACACACACACACACACACACATACCCGCTTGTTTCTGCGTGGTGCATTGATATATACATATATACCCTTTATTCCTCTGGCCACACTGCCGGAAGAAGTGCTATACTATCTTAATCTTAACTGTCTAGACATAGTTAAAGGTAATTAGACTGTTGTTGGTAATTCTCATTAGATAGCCTCAATATGGACTGTGGAGTCTTCTGCTGTCTACCTTCTACCCCTCTAACCTTGCTTCATCTCGTCGTCACTGAGGCTTCAATTAGCATAGCCATCATTGCCTGTTGTACAGTGGTTCTGGGAGGTCAGCTGGGTGCCGCAAGCCGCTTAAGTGGATGGATAAATACGAGTGATAAGATAAGATTTCGTTCGGATTTTTAACCCCGGAGGGTTAGCCACCCAGGATAACCCAAGAAAGTCAGTGCGTCATCGAGGACTGTCTAACTTATTTCCATTGGGGTCCTTAATCTTGTCCCCCAGGATGCGACCCACACCAGTCGACTAACACCCAGGTACCTATTTGCTGCTAGGTGAACAGGACAACAGGTGTAAGGAAACGTGTCGAAATGTTTCCACCCGCCGGGAATCGAACCCGGGCCCTCCGTGTGTGAAGCGGGAGCTTTAGCCACCAGGCCCGTTTATTTTTTAAACACAGTGCCTCAATTGTTTAGGAGAGAGTTTTTGTTGTTTAGGAAGAATGCATCTGTTTCTAATTTTGGCTTGGAATTGTTGGCTCACTGGGCACTGTTTTTTTGGTTAATGGAATTTAAAGCCTTTCCACTTCACTAGGGTTAATCAGACTGCACGTATCATTTACACCACTAGACAACAATATTCTAATTCCAAAAAAATACGGATTAAAGTAAGCTCTCAGAATATTTTCGCTGAGATAAATACAACTGTCCGAGTGTATATCCCGTCTCTCTGGGCACGGGATGGTAATGAAGGCTGAACATATTGATCAAGGACAATACCTTGATACTACTGTAGTACTCTTGATTCCAGGCACTTTAGCTACTCACACTCCCCCCCCCTTACTCCGGTGCTGTTTGACTCCTATAGGTTTAGCGCTTCTCTGTGAATGCAATACTCACAACAATAACAACTGCTAAACCAGCAAACAATAAATATTTCTAATTGTATATGTTGGTATCTATGCTTATGATATGACTGTTATTTTATTCTGAGTAAGAACGAACACCTTGGCTACTCACACTCCGACTCTCTGAATGATGGTTAGTAAAGAGAGCTCTGAAAGTGTTTGTTCTAAGAAATTCTGAGAGAGATTTTATTTGGGATGTAAAAGAATTTTAAGAGGGTTCTAAGGAAACTCAAAGAGTTTTCTAATAGAGCTCTAAGTGTTATCTGAAAGAGCTCTTAAGAGAGCTCTGGTAGTGCTCTTGGATAGGTTAGAGAGTTTCCTGAGAGATTTGAGGGCTGGAAAGATTTTAAAGCACCCTAATACAGACTTTTTAAGAGTCCTGTATTAAAGCTCTTTTAGAGCTCTAATAGAGCAGTCTTATGTGGAAGCTCACATAAGGTGAGAAGAGCGGAAATTATGTCTCGGTTCATATCAGTTAAGGATAAGCTGATAGTCTAATATTGTAGGAGTCAAGAGCTATACCAGGGTGGAATAATTGGGGTGGTGATGATGGTTTGGGGATGGGGGGTTGTGGCAGTGATGGTGGTGATGGCGGACGGTAGGGGTTAGAATGGTGGTGGTACTGGTTGTAGTGGTGGTGGCGGCAGTAGTAATAACGGTTCTGTAGGAAATTATGATAAAGTTAATTCTAGCTAGTCCTGGAAGCCTCCTCATCTTCCTCCTCCCCTCAGTTAAGTCCCGTTGGTAATCAGGTTCGTCAGGAGTCCTACTGCCTTAGTAGACTTTCCACAGATCTTTGGGTAAAGAGAGAGTTCCCGGCTTGGTAAATCTTCCGCTGGTCTCACCTGTTGCTGCCATCGGATCCGCCAACAGCACTACCACGGTGTTGCAGCATTAATGTTAAGATATTCTGCATCCTGCGTGCTAAAGGCGCCTCTCCCGAGATACGGGTTACCTCCCGAATTCAACAGTTTTTTAGACTTTCCCACCGAAGTGACTGTTCTATCGTGTACCCATATCCAGGGAAAACAAAAGGCTATTTTCCACATATCGGGCATGATATCCGTTTATAATGATATATTGAAAACGACTGTCTAGCGGTTCACTAAGTTGTCTTTTATTCTTTACGAACCCTTGAAAACAGTCGAAGCACGAGGCTATATTTTGTTTTAATTGGTTCGCAAGTTGGATAGCGATGTCTCTACTGACTGTGACATTACGTTGTTCATTTTACTCAGGTTATCTGTAATAATAAGCTGTATTTTCTCTGTGTTCTTCTCTTAAGACCGACAGGAAATAATTGTTAAAAATCGAGCACATTTCTTCTTCATATCAGTAAGTAGTTCAGAGTTAGTTTTAAGAGGACCCAGATTTTCTCAAATCCTTGGAAGAAACCTTTCGGATTTTTCTTTGATTATTTTGCAACCACACTATCATGCTCTATATCTCTCTTTTCTTAGGAACGAATTAGTTAATAAGACGACCACTCTCCTTTATTGGGGACCTTATCAATTCCTCTCTTCTGCTCCAAAATATGTTTTAGCTAACAGTTTTGCTCTGCTCCATTGATGGCTGTTATTGCTAAAATCTTTAATATTCCATACTACCATAATTCCTTCTTTTTCCGACAATAATCCATTTTTTTAGTTACAACCTCTCTCTCTCAAAGCATCAGCTTAGAGAGAGAGAGAGGTTGTCTGTCTGCCTCTGTCTCTCTGTCTCTCTCTCTCCCTAAGCTGATGTTTAGAGAGAAAGAAACAGACAGATAGACAGACAGACAGACAGACAGGATCGAACGGGTAATGTGAACGGGATAAAGTTTGTGGTAGCAGGTATAAATGACAATGGAAAACTTTTAATTAAATTGCGCTCAGAAAGATACTTGGTAATAAGCGATCCATGTGTCAAGAAGAAAAAAATTATGAAGTATAATGAAGCGTGCAATGAAAAAAAAAATCTGCTGGATTTTATGTTAGTGGATAAAAGGTAGAAGGGCACATACTTTTTTTTTTTTTTTAGCATGTACCTGTTTTTAGAGACACGACTGATATTTCGGATCATAATTTTGTTATAGATGGAGTAAGAGAAAGGGGAAAATGGAGTACAAGGAGAATGTTATCAGAGACATAACCTCGCAATGTAATGTTTTAGATTTACCTCAATATATATGATTTTTTTTATGTATTTGGCAATATTAGTTTAAGCACAATAATAAACATGGCTAATCTCATACCATCACAGTGGATAGAGCTTCAGTCTTTTAATATAAAGTTAAAGAGAAGGGCTTTCGATATTTATTTTCATAAAACAAATTTTCTGTTGCATTTTGCAAGTGGTGACTGTAGGGATTTCTCTGTCTCTTGTGTCTCCCTGCAGGTACTATAGCCGTGTCATTACTTGTTTCCCACAGTTGTCTCTCCTGCGAGTACTATCGCTCTTGTAAGTTTCGCATGTGCTTACCTGTCTTTCCTGAGGGAATTTTCTCTCGGCAGTCACATGTGTTCCTTATATGTATTGACCTATCTCTTCTGCAGTTACTTTTACTCGGACATCATTTATGTATCCCTCATGTATTGACCTGTCGTCTCTCCCACAGGTACTATCGCTCAGTCATCACCTGTGTGTCACACTTTAACGCTGAGACGCAAATCCGCCTCGACTACATGAACATCTGCCTCTCCTATCCTTACATCGACGAGAACGGTTCCAGGCGCTATTTACTCTTTTACCGCTGGGTGTCCTGGTCGTTCCTTCTCCTGGCTGCAGTATATTACATCCCACGAAAAGTCTCCAAAATATTTGACAACACGAGATGCAAAAAGCTTATAGAAGACCTAGCGAGTCAGGCCCCTCGCTACGACCTGACGGAGCGAGAACTCGTGGAACGGGCGGCCAGATACATCCTATATAACCTCAGAACTCACAATGGTCTGTACTGGAAATATCTCTCTGTCAATGTATTAGCGTTAATGGTTGACATTTTTGCTATATACTTTCTAGACTTCATCTTGCAAGGGCGATTTATTCAGTATGGTTTCAAGTCTTATCCCTTTGACAGAGACCCATGGAAATTCACAGACTACATGTCACAAACTTTTCCACCTTTCGCTTCCTGTGAGCTTACTCCTACCAATAAACTGGTGAATAAACGCAATGAAAAATTTGGTTGCCACCTAACTATCATGGAACTCTATGAGAAAGTGTTTTTAGGTTTGTGGTTGTGGTTGATCATATTAACCTTCATCACCTGTTGTTACATTTTGTATCTCGTCTTGATGTGGGTTCCCAGTGTGCAAGTGTATATTCTACATACCGCCAAGCCTGCTTACGTCAATGACAGAATTCGGGAAACAGTACAAGGCGTGGCGAACAACTGCAAGATTGGCGATATTTATCTCTTATATCGCCTGAGGCAGCACCTCAGCCATGCGAGGTTCTACGAATTGATGAACAGACTGTCTGATCCCAACCTACTGAAGACAAAGGTGCAGCAGGCAGGGCTAAGCACCCCATCAAACATCAGAGGTAAAGTGACGTCCCTCACTCCGGCTGACATGCTGAAGGGAAGACGTCCCCAAGACCCTCACATGAGCCCTAAATACCTTCACCATCTGCCTCACGTGGCCCAAGATCCACTCATGAACCCTAGGTACCTCAACCAGCTGCTCGACAACCCTGACATAATGGGACTGGGCAGACATCAACATCACCCACACTATCGCACACCACGCATCAAAAACACCAATATCTTCATTGAATAGTTCATACTGATTTTTATATTATACATAATTCATATTTTTAATTGGCATTAGGAGTATCATAATTTTAATTGAATGTTTTTATATTGTATTATAAGTTATTAATAAATTTTATATGCATATACATATGTATATGTTACTTTCAAAACTGCAGTCCATTGGTCTCTTATATTTATGGTAGAATTTCTAGCTTATTTCATGAGACATTCAACTTTCTGAGGTTTCTGGCTTACCCTCTGAGTCTTCTAACTTATTCTCTAAGATTTCTAAGTTACTCTCTGACTGCTAACTTTATAAGTTTTTATCTTACTGGCTGAAACTTCTAACTTGCTCTCTGAGATTTCATTTACTACTTACTTTCCGAGACTTCCTACCCCTGAGATTTTTAACTTCAAGTTTTCAAGTCTGCTTCACCTACCTCTTTTTTTCCCATCAGCTGTTCTTGTTGTACACTAAACATCTTCACGGTAAAGCCAGTGTTATTCTCTCTTGCCTGGTGACTACACTCCCTTACCAGACACGGTAAAGCCACTGTTATTCTCTCTTGCCTGGTGACTACACTCCCTTACCAGACACGGTAAAGCCACTGTTATTCTCTCTTGCCTGGTGACTACACTCCCTTACCAGACACGGTAAAGCCACTGTTATTCTCTCTTGCCTGGTGACTACACTCCCTTACCAGACACTGGCGCTTCCCTTCACCTCTCACTGAAGAAAGAACAAGTGGTAAAGCAAGGTTTAGTGTAACGTATTTCTCTGTGTCGAGCTTTATCAAGATACCAGAGTGATACGTTGTCCCAAGAGAAACTTGTTCTGCCACATGTCTTTTTTTTTTCCTATTGCTATTGTCGGCAGTACGCCATTTGGACTGAGCTCTCACTGCACCTGGCACTGTGCCGTCTGGCGCCGTCTTTCAGTGGAACACCGACATCACGATGGTGGGGGAATTCTGTTTGTCAGGAGAAGCTGGGAGAAATTCCTCCTGACGCAGCTCTTAGAGAAGATTGCCCTAACTCTATTCTGAGGGAACTCAGTTCTTATCCCCTTTTCACTGCAGACACTCGCTAATTTCCAGCACTGCATTGAAGGTTCTGAACCCAGAACCACAACACAATCCGAGTACTCGAGGTATTATTATAGGCGTTTCTGATCTGCCTTGCCTTCCAGGAGGGAGAGAAAGAGTTTACCTTGATGCTAGTGAAAGGCTTTTAATCCAATGAATTAAAGTTACCCTCTCCTACCTCGAATAAGACCAAATTACCTCCCACTTCCAGTGGCTGTAAACCAGTTACGGGTTTAGCGATTCCTTTTGAATGAAATAATTAATAATAACAGCAACAATAATAATATTGTCATTATTATAACAACAACAACAATAAAAATAATAACAACAAAAATAATTCAGATGATATTTAATATTACTTACCATGACCATATTTCTAACCTTTAATTAATAACAGTCGTAAAAAAATGCATTTCATTCTAACCACTGCACAGCTATAAATTGAAGATGACATTAGACGAAGTTTCGGTCTGTCCTGGACCATGTAGATGAGAGTCTAGGACTGTTGGAAACGTCTTATTCGTCCATCTCTGATTAGTGGGTCAGGAATTTTTACTTCTTTCAGTGGGATGGATGGTGTTTGTTGCTTGTGACGGCTTCTTGATCCTAAGAACTGGTGCTATTATCTCTTTCCTCGGATCGAATCTAACCACATTCATTTATCTAGGCGTTGAATGCTCCCTATTAGTTTAGCGCTTCTCTATCAATATATAAAATATTTCCCTATGTATTGCAGCATATATTATCCTATCATACAGGATACCGACTATATCCTTCACTACTGCCTCCAGGATACTGTATCCTTCACTACTGCCTCCAGGATACTGTATCCTTCACTATTGCCTCCAGGATACTATATCTTTCAGTATTGCCTTCAGGATACTGTATCCTTCACTATTGCCTCCAGGATACTAAGCGTAATAAACACTTGTCACTGTCGAAAGGAAACTCACATGTTGACAATAAAATACTCGAAAGAAATTGGCTTTATATTTCGTCTTCCAGCTGAAGCCTTCTGCTGAAGAAGACCTCAACAGGAGGTCGAAAAAGACAGTCATTCACTTTGAGGAAGTTTTTGATGGGCAACATGTGGGTTTCCTTTCAACATGCTGAAACATGTTTGTCTTTAGCAACGTGTGGGATTCATGGAATTTGTGAAGTACTTATATCTGGAGTATCTGGAGGGTGTTCGGGGGGGGGGGGTCAACGCCCCCGCGGCCCTGTCCATGACCAGGCTTCGATAATGATTCAGATTTTTTTGACAAAATAAATGAATAAGATTTTTAAAGCTACATAAATATCGCCTTTAAAATAAAATAAATGACCTTTAATAAATCTGTTTAAATGAAAATCGTAAGAAAGAAAAACCATTATTAATAACGGTTATAAAAAAGTAATACAGCACCTAGGATATAGAAAGTAATCACGTTTGATCCGAGGAAGGAGAAGGTACCTCAAATTCTTTAGGTTAAGAACCCTCCACCAACCTTAAAGCACTTTTCTTGAATGGATTTAATGTTCAAAAATGTCAAGGCACCAGTAAGATTAGCACCTTTCTTTTAAAAATTGGATTAGGGTCGATCTGGATAGATTAAGATTCTGAGCCATGACTATATCTTACAATCTGACAGCAGAACAGACGGTAACGAGTTTCTCCCCGCGCCTCTAACACAGTAGAACAGACGGTAACGAGTTTCTCCCCGCGCCTCTCACAAAGCAGAACAGACGGTAACGAGTTTCTCCCCGCGTCTCTAACACAGCAGAACAGACGGTAACGAGTTTCTCCCCGCGCCTCTAACACAGCGGAACAGACGGTAACGAGTTTCTCCCCGCGCCTCTAACACAGCAGAACAGACGGTAACGAGTTTCTCCCCGCGTCTCTAACACAGCGGAACAGACGGTAACGAGTTTCTCCCCGCGCCTCTAACACAGCAGAACAGACGGTAACGAGTTTTCTCCCCGCGCCTCTAACACAGCAGAACAGACGGTAACGAGTTTCTCCCCGCGCCTCTAACACAGCAGAACAGACGGTAACGAGTTTCTCCCCGCGCCTCTAACACAGCAGAACAGACGGTAACGAGTTTCTCCCCGCGCCTCTAACACAGTAGAACAGACGGTAACGAGTTTCTCCCCGTGCCTCTAACACAGCAGAACAGACGGTAACGAGTTTCTCCCCGCGCCTCTAACACAGCAGAACAGACGGTAACGAGTTTCTCCCCGCGCCTCTAACACAGCAGAACAGACGGTAACGAGTTTCTCCCCGCGCCTCTAACACAGTAGAACAGACGGTAACGAGTTTCTCCCCGCGCCTCTAACACAGCAGAACAGACGGTAACGAGTTTCTCCCCGCGCCTCTAACACAGTAGAACAGACGGTAACGAGTTTCTCCCCGCTCTCTAACACAGCAGAACAGACGGTAACGAGTTTCTCCCCGCGCCTCTAACACAGTAGAACAGACGGTAACGAGTTTCTCCCCGCGCCTCTAACACAGCAGAACAGACGGTAACGAGTTTCTCCCCGCGCCTCTAACACAGCAGAACAGACGGTAACGAGTTTCTCCCCGCGCCTCTCACACAGCAGAACAGACGGTAACGAGTTTCTCCCCGCGCCTCTAACACAGTAGAACAGACGGTAACGAGTTTCTCCCCGCGCCTCTAACACAGCAGAACAGACGGTAACGAGTTTCTCCCCGCGCCTCTAATACAGTAGAACAGACGGTAACGAGTTTCTCCCCGCGCCTCTAACACAGCAAAACAGACCGTAACGAGCTTCTCCCCGCGCCTATAACACAGCAGAGCAGAAGGTAACGAGCTTCTCCCAGCGCCTCTAACACAGCAGAGCAGAAGGTAACGAGCCTCTCCGAGCGCCTCTTAACACTTCAAGAAGCCTGACACACATTTCGAATGATGGAACTTGTGGCATTGATCATAGGGAGAGAATGTGTAACTCTTAACATCATTATCTCTCCAATTGAGATCATTACTCAAAGAAGATCAGGCTGATCAAAGGCGAGAATAGTTCAATTAATAATTAGGCGATCACTATTTACACTCATCTATATTTTCATGTCACTAACGATATCGTTACTGAAAAACCCCATGTCTTACTGTCACAGCCCTTCAAGGGGGATATATCTTGTTTCTGGTGAAGGGCTCTTGATCCATGGGACTATAACTACTTTCATTTTCTTCGGATACATCCTGATTACTTCATTACCCCGAGAAGTTTAGCTTTTCTTAATGAATAATAGAAGAAGAATGCCATTCATATTCGAGAAGTCAGTGGGACATGATGCCGTCACTCTTGTTGAAGTATCCATCCAGTGAGCAGGAGGCTCCCCGCAAGCTCACCACCGTGTACAACACAGTGCACAACACCGTGCACAACACCGTGCACCGGGAAAGCTCTCGTTTGTGATGGCATTCTCGTTTTAATTACCAAATTGTCAACACAGAACAAAATACTGAATTCTTTCTCTTTTTTTTTTTTTTTTTTTTTACACAGGGTTTGACAAGGTTAAGGATCCCTAGCTTTATTGACAGCTATATTACAGGTTAAGGATTCCTAACTTTATTGGCAAGCACAGAGCTGTTACCTACATCAGCTCATTTGAAAGCATTTTTATTGTTATGAGACATACAAGTACGGGACAGGATGAAGTTGGAGCCATCTGTGGGCCAGCATTTTCATTTGATCAACTCTCTCTCTCTCTCTCTCTCTCTCTCTCTCTCTCTCTCTCTCTCTCTCTCTCTCTCTCTCTCTCTCTCTCTCTCTCTCTCTCTCTCCTCTCCAACGGTAAATTTTCAGAAATGGAAAAAATATATATTCCGACCGTCTAAGCAAAAAGGAAATGCTGTGTTCTTATTTCTGGATTACATTTGCAAGATACCTCCCAAGTTCAGTCAGTTAAATCCTTTTTCCCTACCATGACAAAATTACCCTACTTCAGGGGTAGGTGGGGAATGTAAGGCAAACACTTCATGATTTCTTGAAGTATATCTTCAGCCACAGAGTATCGAAGTGCATCTTCCTCCATATAATATCGAAGTGCATCTTCCTCC